TTTAACACAGTTTTTAAATTCCATTAATTCATGCTTAAATGAAATAGAAATTGACCCATTCTGATATGGAATATATATAGTTTAAAAACTTCATGTGCAAATATTTTCTCTTCATCTCTTTAAAGTAGAGTCTTAAATGTAAAACCACATTTAGACACCACATTAGACAGGCCAAAAATTGTTAAGCAACTGGATGAAAGAAAAGTGCTAATAATAAAATAACTTTTTCCAGTGAATTCAAAGAAAATATCCTTTCAAAAAAAAGCTGGGAATGTTGGATTATCTTGATATTAAAAAAACTGTCTAGGAAAATCCCAATCACTGCAAGAACCGAAGTGAATTCCTTGCACTAGTATTCATTACAGAAAATACTGTACCCACAAATTGTTCTTTACTGAAGAAGAGTATGAAGAACTATCTCTAGCTGAAACATGCATTGGAGATATCTGTCATGTAGTGAAAATTGAGGAAGAAAAGCTTTTCAGTACCTAAATGATATTTCCTAGAGTGTCAAAAATAGGAAAGTCCTATACTGGTAATTGAGAAGTTTTAGTCATTGCTTAAATTTGCCTCAATGGCCACCTCAAAGTGTTGCGGTTTAGGAATGGCACTCCCCAGTTTAGTACTGTCCCTTCTCCCTGAGACTGACCCAAAACCAGATGCTGCTCAGTCTCCCCACCCTCACCCCTTTCCTGCTCTCAGAATTGAAGGCACAAAAGGGCAAAAATTATGGGTTGAGATCAGACTAATTTACTGGGAACAGCAGTGAGATAAGAAAATAAACAGTAACAGCAACAATATCAACAACAAAAGGCATAAGACAAAGAAACTGTGTCTAAGGAAAGCCCAGGTCAGATACCTACCAGCCCCCACACACCATGTTTTGTCCTGACTGGAAAAAGGAAGAACACTATGAGAAATGAGAGCCCCTTTCCCCCAGCCCCTGGGATGGTGTAAGATGGTATCGAACAGCAGCCCTGTCTTGGTCACACCCATTTGGCAAGGCCACTGCAGCCCAGAACCCTGGGAGCAAGTGAAAGTGATCTGCTCAGCCTTCCTGGGAACAGAGGTGTGTGCCACTGCTCCTGGCTACTCCAAAAAATTACCTCTGTCCTGGGCAGAACTAGAGCAGATACTGAGAGAATATGACACAAACCTTTGCTATCAGATACTAAACACTAAATTTTATTTCTAGATGTCTTCATGTAAGCCTAGATAAATTGATAGAGAACATATTGGAATACGATGCTTGCATATGACGCTTTGGGGAAGAGCTAGTAAGTTTTGCAGATGCAGAAATGATTTGCAAGAGCAATAAGGTTATTTGAAAGGATGATGAATAAGGGTAAATCCAGCTTGTACTGTGTAGCTGGACTTTCACTTGAGCTGTGCCCTTACAGAGTAAAAGGGAAGGACTTGTCACACAGTGACAACTGAGTGACAACTGCTTAAATGATAAGAAACAAAGGGTAGGAATAAGTGGTCATTTTTTTCCTGTGAGAAATGTTAGGAATATTCTCCCTCAGGACTCTCTATTGATCCTTTCACTGCTAAAATGGTCAGGATGATGGCCAAGAACAAGTGTGACAGCTAGCAGGTGACATGGAATTATTTTAGGACAGTAGATGGGACACTAGTAGGGACTAGTAGGCGCAGGACTACCTTGTATTTGTCAGAATAATTATACACATTTAATTTCTGTGATACTGTTCAGTTCTTTAAGGTGCAACAACTTGGTCACTGGTGTGGATCCTCTATTTTCAAGAGCTCTGAGACAACAATCCTATCACTGCAGGATAATTATTATTTTGGTGGTGCCCCTGAAATATTAGCATGCAGCAGTATAAAACCAGGTATCTGGAGCAGTTTAAACAAGAGTTACAGGATATTTTTGTTTTTCTTAAAAAAGAACATGTGTTTTGTTCTCTCATAGGATGTATTCAATGCAGAGGTTACAATAGGATAAATAGGAGGGAAAAATTATACTATGAATTTAACAAAAGTGTTTAAGCAGATAATTTCTTAAAATCATTAAGAAGTAAGGAATAAAGTAATCTGAAAGGCGTCTTGTTTTCTTGAAAATGTTGCTATGTGAACACAGGAAAAATTGAATTAAATACCTTGGGAATTAACATAGAGCTTGTGAGTTTTCTGACATATTTCCTTCATGCATGGAATCTCTCTTTTCAAGGAAGATTTGATTAAAAACATGTTTTCTAACATAAATGCAACTCCCTGGTAACTCTTAAAAATGAAATAAAAATTGTCTGCATCTATTTACTTCTCCAGAAAGGCACAGAGGATTAGTGGGCTAATGCTTCGTGTTCTTAAGGAGACAGATAACTAAATAATGACAATGGAAAATTGTCATTGCTAATAAATTGCTAATTTATGAAGAACATGTTAAGACAAAATATTCACAAACTATTATTGAGACCAAATGTATACAATGATATATTAGATCCTGGAGATGAGAGGACAATAAAAATTCTGCACATGGACACCGAAAATGATTTAATCTGAAAAGTAAGATCCAACAAAAAAAGTCAAGCTGCCAGAGGTTTTCCACTGCTTGGCAATAGGTGCTACACTCTGAGATTTCCATTTGCAGTCCCTTTCTCACAGCCTCTCACTGAGTGCAATGCCACCAGTGGAAGTGAGAAACCACAACAACCAATCCTACAAGTTTTCACTTTTAGCACCTGCAGTCCTACAAAATGTTACAGAGAGAAAAATCTCCCACTAATGTTTGAAGTTGAGCTCTTAAAATAGCTTTTACAATTTGCATTCAAACACAAGATTATGGTACATTCAAGGGCAATTTGCATCATAATAAGTATTCAATATTCAACACTGTGACAGGCTTTCACGTGTGGTTTATCACAGCGATAGGTGTATTTTACTGTCCCTACATCAGTTTGAGCTGGGTATAATTTCTTTCTTATATTTCTTTCTTATATTTCTTTCTTGAGGGGAAATAATCCTTCCCCTCAAGAAAGTTTATTAGTGATGTTCATGAATGGTGGGTGAGCCCATGAGCTCTGTTCAAATCTTGAGCTTCCTGCTGTCCTGGGTGTCATGTCTGGGCAACAGACATGGTGTGCAAGCTGAGCCCACCTGTGCATACAGACCTGTCTGGAGTACTGCTAAATCTTAAAATCTTTTTTCAGCTTATATCAGTTGAACACTGCTTTTGCAAAATAGTTCTGTAGCCAAAAATGTGGGAAAAAAATTATGTGTAGAGAGTAATGTGTTCGTTTCTATCTGGATTTATGCAAACCCATGCAAAACCTATGTTATGTCTACTGACACTGTGGAAAAAAAGACAAAAATACACTCCAGCTGTCTGATAAGTTCAGGGCCAAAGTCTCTCCTTCTATTCTGACACAAATGTCATCCAGTGAGGTTAATGGGGCTGGGGTGCTTACACTATAGGGTGCCTAATTGTTTCTTGGCGGGCTAGCACTCGCTATCAATACACATACAGACAGTATTAAAATAGATGTGTCATATCAGCATGATCAGCTACATGATAAACAATACCCTGGCATTAGCTCTGAATGGAGAAAGATATCCCAGTGTGCAATCAGGGAAAGGAGTTGTTAGAAAGGTAATGATTGCATGCAGCCCCTTGATGAACACTAAGCTTCAAGAGCAAGCCTAGCATGATTTTATGGGCTGCAAGCCAGCAATCAGGTAGCAAAACTGAAAGTTCTTGTCCCTGAAATTTTAAGTGGCTTTAGACCTTCAGAAGAGGATGAAATATTTTTTATGCTGTTTTCATGCATCTTTTTGGACAGCTTTTGCTTTTTTCTTTCTGAAAATAACGATTCAGCTGTTAGTATCAACACTTAGTATCTTACTAAAGCTAACATGTCACTTATCAGAAAGGGTGCAGCATATTAGAATCAACTGAATGACTTTTATAGGGTGACTTCTGTAATAGCTCTGAGATCATTGCATGAAAGCATGAGATAATTCTGCTGCTTCAGTAAACTGCAAAGTATCTGGCCTAAATGTAGCCCAATCCATCAAAAAACCCAGCAAAATACTGGGTGATGAATAATATAAATAATACATGGGTCAGCATAGATCTTTGCTGGGCATGAGTTTTCTTCAATTTATAATTAAGCATGTAAAGATTTTTGGAGTTTTGTATGAGCTGTAATTTTTACTTTTGTAATAAAAACCCTCAATGTGTATTGCTCAGTTTTGCTCATGATAAAAAAGAAAAATTTCAGGAAATGTACCTGAGGTATCCATGAATGAAAAGAAATATCTGCCATATTTATTCCAGTCATTTAATCACCTGAAAAACTCTCAGGACCCAGGTATTTTATGGGTTCCTTCACTTATAGCAAGATGGCCTTCTTACAGGTAGATTAATTGTTCTTTTTTTTCTTCTTTTAGCTTTTCAACAATGTTTGCAGGGCTTTCCTTGAAAGGCAGAAGCAGAGTATCTATGTCAAGCTATTGCAATATTCTTATTACAGATTAGACAAGTCTAGTTGTCCCTATGGAAATACTAGCTTTTGGCCAGATTCATTTGGAATTATGATCAATCTGAAGTATAATTCCTTTTTTTTACACTTAGTTCCCGGCTATGACCTCATTAGGGTATATCATATGAAATCAGAGAGATATGAATGTTGAGCAATAGCTCTGGCATGCAAATCTATGAAAATCATCTGTTAGTCTGATACTCTCCTGCAGATTGCTTAAACTCTCTCACAGATGTCATTCCTTACGTCAGGATATACACGTCAGTTTATATTTTGGCTTTATTTAAAAGTCCAGGTTTCTGAGGTGTCTCTTTAAGTCCTGTTCCTGAGAATGGAAATAGTTTGTCAGCTCAGTGGTCTCAGTTTCTTCCACTTCCTCACTCACCACTGAATGTGAGATGTTGAGCTGGCATTGAGTCTCTAACTCATGAGTGCTCAGCAGCTGCTTCCTTCCTATGGATCCAGGCTGCTGCTGCTCCAGTAGGCCAAGTTCCTGAATCTCCTTCCTCCAGCAGAGCTTCAGGACGTGCTGCCACTGAGATGGATGGAGGAAGTGGGGAGAAGAGTGTGGCTGGACTCATTGGATCCCATGGATGAGGATTCCTATGGATGAGAATTTTAGATTTAGGTTTTGCTCTTCAACAAGCAGCCACATTGGCTACAAACACTGCTGAATGCTGCCAGCTTGGTATGTATCACCTGATTTAGTGCCAGAGGAGGAACCATTTCTAAAACAGAAGAGTTTTGTTTAATGTTTTACAAGTGTTAACAGCGTTCCTTTTTTCAAGTTTTTTAAGGTTCTCATGTGCAAACCCTTCTATACTGGAACAGAGCAAATGAATTTGTCAGGATTATTCCAGTGGGTCAACAAGATAGGACTGTAAAACTATAATAAATTAACTACTTCCTCCAAAACTTTGTAAGAACTTCTGAGAAAGAGATATTCACCCTGTCATACTCCACTAACAGCCACACCACTGCATGGGCCTGTGCTGTTTTCAAAACATGACATGGAAGGACACATCGTGCATGTTAAAAATCATGCAGCAGAAGAAAGCCTGCACCATAAATACAGTCTAATCTGGAAAGGAAGCTACTGGGTCCAGTCCTACAGGGCTCAACAAACAAAAACTTCCACCAAAGTTACAAGGGAAAAATAATTTTTTCCGAAATGGGCATGCCTCTTTAGATCAGCAAAAATGTGCCTCCAAACCAGTAGATTATGCATTCATTGTGCTCCTCCTACATCCTACTGGGCAGAATATACCTAACAGAAATTTAAGTAAGGGGAATAAAATATTTTAGCACTTTTTTTTTCCTTGCATGATACAAAGCTGTGATTTCATGTGGAAAAAAAAAAATCAGAGGGTTAGTGGAAAATGGAATCTTTCCGAAGAGGAGAAGTTAAGCTTAACATGGGCATCTGATGTTTGTCTTACAGAATACAAAAGGACAGAGAATTCCAGTTAAGATTTAAGTTGACTTTTTGAAGTATTACGGAAGTCTAATGACTACTCTGCATAAATTACTTCCAGATGCTGACCTGCTTGAAAATGGTGGGATAGGATAATTCCATGTTTTAATCAGCACCTGTAACAGGTGAGATATACCAAAATTTGTTTCAAGAAATTAAAATATATTATTTTTTTTTCGATGTGGAGGGGCAATGCAATAAAATATAAATTTTTTATGAGCAATTTTTTGAAACAGTATTCTTATGGCTTTTTACATCCTAGAGGAATATTTAGTCTCATTTTTGTCATCACAAAGTAGAGTAAAACCCCCCAAAACACAAGCGTAAGTCATTAGAGCTGTGGTTATCAGTTTACAGAGATTAAGAATAAATATGATCTGCAAATATTTTCTTATTCCCTTTGTTTCACTTTTCAAATAACTTGCAATGAACCAAACAAACTCAGTTCCAGGGCATAGGCCTCAGTATGCTGAGCTCCTCTGCAACTGGCCTAGCTGGGAGAACTTTACCAATTATAATGTTGCTTCTGATCAATGTCCTGCAAGTGCACTTGACTGTTTTCTTCAGAGATTGGGAACCAGATGTGCGAATGATAAGCATAACAAACAACCTCAGAAAAACAATGTTTATCATAATCAAAGAGTAAAATCACCATTTTGAAAGTTGTATCTGCTCCAAGGCAGTTTTTAGAGGCCAACAACACTGAGGCACTAAGGATGCTAGGAAGTAAAGGGTTCCTTGCTCATGAAGGGACTTATTTCTCATTTTTCATTTCTGTTTGTAATCGCTGTCATTTTTGTTTCTCATGCTTTGGATAAAAAAGGTGACTTTTATATTTATTAGAACTGGGTTTCAATAAACATTATGCAATATGGTAGACCAGGGAATGATTTATTGATAATTTGTCACTTATATTTATGGAAGTGTAGACCCTGGAGCCCTAGGGCTGGTAAATCATATTATGCAGCTACAAATGTTTTTTTATTCTTTGCTGCCAAAAGTGCACCATGTAAACTGATTGCCTCACCAAACCCCCAGGGCCTGATAATGATGCACTTGCTAATACAAAAGCAGGAGGGGTGAGTAGAAGACAACTAATTATAAGTTTATTTTTGTTTCAATATGTTTGCCATTTAATCTAGAGTTCCATAAACAACAGATTGATGAAATATAATTAGGAGGAAGATTACTGTTTAATGAGGGAAAAGATTGGGAAAGAATGTAAGTGGAGCAGTGGGCTGTGCAGAGTTTTTAGCTGTTTATTATTGTACAGCTGTAAGGCACTTTCACACAGTTCCCAGATGGAAGCAGCTGTTAGCTCTTCGCCATTAGAAAAAAGGAGGTTCATAGTTCATTTTTATCCACTTGTTCCAGCCTAGTAACTCTCACTACAACACTTCACCAAGTCACAACTCCCATCTACAGCTGAATCTGTCAGGATGGGCACCCTGTCTTCATTTGCCACTTTGCCATTCACTTATCACATCTGGCAACCTCTCAAGCAACAAGCTGTTCCACTCCTTGTAATATGTTTATCTCCCGTGGTGATGTCAGCAAAAGTCAGCAAAAGTCAGCAAATCTAATATTCATGTTCAAACAGATTTGTTGGTGCTCTTTGTTTATAAGAAAGAGCTCTGTATCACCCCTGCAGCTGCTTCCTCTTCAGCAAGCTTTGTTTTTGTACAGTACTCTTCTGATAGGCCTTGGGAGCAGTACAAAGCATGGGTCCGTCTGATTTAACAGGTTTTTGGGTTTTTTTTAATATCTCTTTTCTCCCCAAAGCATGTTATGAAACCTGCCTTTTCCCCTCAGCTTGAAAAGGGCTCATACACAAGACAGAATATAAAAGGCAAATAAAACAGGAGTTTCTTTAAAAAGCAGTAACTGGGAAAGAAAAAAAGTAGGCAGACTTTCAAAAATGAATACTACAGTAACATTTCTCTTGCAGCACTTAAACAATTCCACATTATGGGCCAAGATATCCACTGCCCTGCACAGGCATTTACATTAGTGCAAAGTGAGTGTAAATCTTTACTGCTTCAGACAGGTTGTATGTTATATTTGGTGCCGAGATATTGCACATGCTACGGGGAATTAGAGAATTTGGTGCTTGTTTTTGTCATGATTTATACATTTCACTCTTCTCATTTCACAGTGTTTGGAGCTATCTCAGATGCTTTCTATGGCGTATTGTGTTTGGTTTATAGAAATTTATATTTCTGAGGTATGCTATGCATGATAGTCCTATCAGTCAAGGCAAAGGCAGTGTTTATTCCAGGCTGGCATTATCCATAATGTTTCTGAACAGCTTCTCAGTCTGGGTGAGGTATGTTCTTCTTCATTAGTTTCTGTTTTGAGATTAGAATTTCTAAAATTTCTTTTAGGCTACTTCACCATTTATTCAGATGTTTGGCTAGAGTTTCATTCCAATTCCACAATTTATTTGTTGCCAGCACAGGATCAATTTGGAGATCTGGGTTTAACTAGGTGGCAATTGTGGCACTTCCTTTTCCACTAATATAAACCAGTCTGTTTCTAAATCTCTCTCTGTCTCTCTTTTTTTTTCTTTTTTAAGGAAAAACCAAGAGTATTTCTTTAAGCATTGAATTAAATTCTCGTATCTTAATATTATTTTGCTATTAGCTGCCAAAGGACAATTTATTTCACAGTTTCCAAAACACATTTCAACATTAATATACACTACATGTTGCAAATTTAACATTTAGGTGAATCTCAGGAGTAGTATTATATCCTGACCTGTAAAAAGAAAATGAAAAAAATACATAGTACAAAAAAATTCCAACAGTATAAAATTGGTTTTTTTTAGTTATTTTAAATTGTACCACTATCAACAGGCCACCCACATGCTTAATCTAGAAGAACCACCTCTAGGCTATGAGGAAATCTCTGTGGCCCCAGAAAACTTGGCTATTTCACAGACAAGGATGCTGGTTAAAGCCAATTATGGTGGAGAATTTTATGTTCCAAACAGCTGTCCAGTTGGAGTTGGGCTAAGACCACCAAGTTATTTCATGTGTCACAAATAGCCATCTGATTGGTTAAATAAAGCTGCATATATATTTTTATGAATAGAAGTGGAAGGTTTAATTTGCTTTTGTTTGTGGGGTCTTATTTATTGCTCGAAAGTGTTTGGATGCCTGCTGGGTATTTGTGAAAAAGGGTTGCAAAAGCTGCATGTATTTCACCTGCAGGCCAGGAACAGAGGTACAGTGTTGTGGTTAAGGCTAACCAAAGCAGAAAAACTATGCTGGAGCAAGATAAGAAAACTACTGCCAAGGTTGTGGACCAAAGCTAAAAATCCACTTACCCAACTAAAAACCCCAGCTAGTATTTATGTATGCTTTATGTTTATGTATGTGTTTAATATTAAGGAACAATTTATGCTCAAAAATTTTGCTTCCAGTTTAGGTATGCTACTACTTAAAATTACAGCAGTTTAAATTACTTCCTTACCTGCTCTTTAATGCCTGTTTTCTCTTGTTTGATTAGTTCATGCTCCAAGAGCACTTTCCTATGTGCAGTTTTTACTGTTTCCCCTGTTTAGCCAGTCTGTTTTTTCATCCTGTCTGTAACGTGAAAGCCCTATGCAGCAACTTAGGAGAGCAAAACACTTTTAAATCTCAAAATTATTAATTTTACAGAAAAATTAAGATGCAAGAGCAAAACTGGAAATGCTAGCAAAAGAAGTCCAAGTTAGCCTGAGTGTCTGCAGCTATGTCTAACTTCTAGAAAAAGGGCTTTGTTAGTCTAATAGTCATTGGCATCGCTTTAAGATACTGACCCCAAAATTCCTAAATTGATGGATCACATTCATATTTCTCATTAGACTAGTAACATTACTAAACATTTATAATTCAGCCAACATTTCTGAATTTTCTTTTAAAACATTTTAAAGTAAATTGCTCGTCCATGGCATAGAATTAAAGCTCCCTGAGGTTATATTTGTTATTTACTTCCCAGCTCCGTGACACAAAACCAAAAAGATTTATTGCAAAATATTTGATTGTCTCTAGAATCAATGCTCTCTTAATGTTTGCTTCCTCTCATAGGACAACTATATTCAGCTTCTTCTTCTGTCTCACTGAATCTTTCTCTTCTTTTCCTTCAG